AAGAATCTACTAAAATTAGTAGATGAAATCATAACAACATCCGACTGTTCAGGCAGACAAACTCATTTTCAAAACAAAATTCAGTTTTTTACCTTCAAAGATGAGTAACATTGAAAGTTTATCAGGAGTGGTAGGGAATCACCATCACTGGCAATACACGAATCATAAAAAAAATATGCTTTAACTAACTTTAGGACAGTTGTTAAATGCATCCCTTCTGAAATTAGTCTATGTGATTAAAGATGACTATAATTAATGGTCATGATTTGAGTTTTAAAGAACAGCTTGTAGGGGTCTTGGAGCAGTATTCTCTGACTCATTACATAAATTGCTAGATGCACTACTAGAGGGCAGTCTGGTATATCCTGTTTGCCTGATACCAAATTGGGGATAAGAACAAACTTTCTCCCAGAACAGACTGGTAGAAACACTTGAGGATTTTCAGTTTTCAGGAGCTGAATGATTATTTTTCAACTTTAATTACCTTTAAAATTACATGAATCTCAAAAAAAAATCTTTACACTGGTTTGTTTTAAGCAAGAAAGCCAATATCTTAACTCAAGGTTTATTTTCTTTTTCAAAATTAAATAAGTCACACTGCAAAATAATTACTAGATGTGTCGTTGATGACGGTGATGTTCAGGGGCCTGGAACATCTGCCTTATGAGCAAAGGCTGAGAGAGCTGGGCCTGTTCAGCCTGGAGAAGAGGAGGCTGAGGGGGGACCTGATCAGTGTCTATAAGTACCTCAAGGGAGGCAGTGAGGAGGAGGGGCCGGCCTCTCTTCAGTGGTGGCCAGGGACAGGACTAGAGGAAATGGCTACAGACTGAAGCACCAAAATTTCCACAGGGACTTAAGGAAACACTTCTTGACAGTGAGGGTGACAGAGCCCTGGCACAGGCTGCCCAGAGAGCTTGTGGAGTCTCCTTCTTTGGAGATCTTTAAAACCTGCTTGGACGCAGCCCTGTGCCACGTGCTCTAGGTGACCCTGTGTGTGCAGGGGGGTTGGACTAGGTGACCTCTGAGGTCCCTTCCAACCTTAAGCATTCTGTGATTCTATGATATCAGCTCACATCAGTATCATCAGGTTCACATCAGTTCAAGTAGTTTATATTTGACATCTAACTCGAATAGGTGTGACACCTCACTAAACTTACTCTCTGATACTTCTAATTTTAGTGACACTTGTATCATTATCCCAATTGTTACTTAGCATTTTCTGAAATTATTTCTTGTGATTTTGCGTTTTTGTTTACTTAGCATTGCATGTAACTGCCACAGTACATACTGTGTTAAAAAAGTCTACCTCTACTTTGCTAAACATGCAAGAAATTTAAATTTAATTTAAAATATGCAAGAAATGGTTAATAACCAGAGAGTTTATATTAGAGACAAAGAATAGGTCAAGGATTCGAGCAATGAGGATGCGAATGTCATATAAGAAGTGCATTTTTTTTGTCTCTCATACTTGTGAAAAAATATATATATTTTGATTTTGAAATAGAAGTCAAAGGGAAACTTACACACACACCCACACACACACCCACACACACACACACAAAGCATTATAAAACTTTTCACTTCTGCTCTTACTAGACTAAGCACTTGCAGTCTGTTTTGGGAGTCAGGAATATTTTAAAGGCAAACTGTATCCTTTCTGATGGAGAAAGCACTTTTGAATACCTTCCATCTTCAACTTCACTTTAAAGTGTTAATGAAAGAATAAAAAAAGGAAAAACAAACACCAGAAATATTCAAGACATATTTTCCATCTGGTGCCATAACAGCAATTTTGGGACAGACATATTTTTTTCTTGCTAGAGTTCTGTTTTCAGCACATTTCCAGAACATCTGGGCAGGGGAGAAGCTATGAATGCAACAGTGACAACTAGTTTTAACAAACAAGTAAAATTTCTCCTTTGTTTTATTTTACAGCAAAATCTTTCAGACATGTAGAATGTACACATGTTTTTACCAGTTTTTCATTGCAATCAATAAAATTAAAGCATATGTTAATATGACTGAAATGAGAACATGGACAAGTATACGTAAAATTTCACCTACCTTGAACCTCAGACTAGAATTCTTATTCTAGCAATAATTCTCAAATCTACATACATACATATTATTGGCCTGAGGCAAATTCAACCAAGATTATGCTTCACAGTGGAAAAGCAGCATGTTGTGAAGCGTATGCAATACTTATCTGAGTGTGCTGTAAAATCTGAAGATATTTTTCATTCGAATCACTGTGGTCCACAGAACTAGCTCATGTATCACCTAAATTAGAATCATAGAATCATAGAATGCCGAAGGTTGGAAGGGACCTCAGAGGTCATCGAGTCCAACCCCCCTGCTCATGCAGGGTCACCTAGAGCACGTGGCACAGGGCTGCATCCAAGCGGGTTTTAAAGATCTCCAGAGAAGGAGACTCCACAACCTCTCTGGGCAACCTGTTCCAGTGCTTTGTCACCCTCACAGTGAAGAAATGCTTCCTTAAGTTCCTGTGGAACTTCCGATGCTTCAGTTTGAAGCCATTTCCTCTGGTCCTATCCCTGCCCACCACTGAAAAGAGGCTGCCCCCCTCCTCCTCACTGCCTCCCTTGAGGTATTTATACACGCTGATCAGGTCCCCCCTCAGCCTCCTCTTCTCCAGGCTGAACAGACCCAGCTCTCTCAGCCTTGGAAGAAATTCATTATAGTAATACCTGTTTGTGATCCTCTTAACCTTTCTATTGCCAGAGCTTTTCTGCTTTTAAACTTAGCTGTGATGATCTTATTAGATAATCTCAAGCATTTTGTCTTTGGAAAACTATTCTTTATCCTCCTCATCCAGAGTTTTATTATTGTGTTATAAGATACTAATATCGCAATGACTCCAGGGATCTCTCTAACCAGTTATGACAAAAATTATTCCAGTGACTTGCTTCATTTCTGCTATAGGACTGATAAATCCAAGGAATGTACTTATGAGAAACATGCATAAAACAAAAAAAAAAAAAATCAAAACACAGGCAGTAACCACCTGCTGAGCTACTGCAAACTAACAGAAATACAACAAAGCTGAAAGGGGAAAAAATAAATGATGTATCAAAAATACTTAGTAGAAGCAATTAGGTGGACCCAGATAACAGCTATGAATGTGGGAAAACTTCAAAATGAGTATAGGAATGGATTAAGATTGGCTGTACTACAGTCCCACAGTATGGTCTTAGACTGGAAACAGAAGATGTGATCGCTAGTGCTGGCAAACAGGCAGGATTCCTTCTCTCAGGAGCTTTATAAAAGAAGGGTTTTTCTTTTTCTTTTTCTTTGTTTTTGTTGTTGTTGTTGTTTCCTCCTCTATTCCTCCCTTTGGAAGAATGTTCTGAAAACAAAGACTCATAACAGAGTTGAAAGGGCTTCAGAGGCAGTATCTAGTCCACGCTACCCTTTTGAGGGCTGAAAAATTGATTTTTCGAGATGAAATCAAGTCTAACACTTATAGCTTCCTCTTAAAAAATAGTGCTCTATCTTCCTGTTTTTCTTTCCCACCTTTTATGAAAGAAGTCCTGACTATACAGATTTTACACAGCCTTTGAACTATGCAGCGACAAAAACTCTATGGCAACTAGTGCTGTTATGAACGTATGAAAGTTTCCAGCATACAGCTTTACTGAGGATGAAGAAAAGACCTGGTGAACCTCCTTTGAAATTAATACTGTCAGCTAATGATTGGAAAAGAAAAAGCTTTATGTCCTTCTGTCTATTTTCAGATAGGCCTTTAGACTTTTTTTGGTGAGAGTTGGTTTGTAACATCTTACATCTGCAAGGCAGATCCAATAACCCACAGAGAAGGTAGAACGTTACCGCTTCCACTGCAATTTTTCTTGAGATTAATTAGCTTTCCAATTGCTGTAAGATTCTCAGTGGAAAAGGTTTTAAAAACAAATTAAATCCAGCAAGTATCTTTCACTACGAATTAATCAAAGTTTAGTATTTCCTTACAACACACAGTAAAGATAAGAAACTAGTAGTAACAAGGCACAATAACTTCTCCTTTATTCACTATGGTAAAAATCCATTTTTTAATTATTTTGAAGGATACATCCCTGTAACAATAAAAAGGAAAAATAGTACCAGAGCAGAAGAACCTCTGAGGAATAAATTATACAGAGGCTTTATATTACTGCCCTTTCCCTCTTGATATTACCCTCATATATATATATATGTACATATATATACACACACAGACACACATATATATGTATTTCACCCACTCAGCAATTATGAGAAAACATAAAAGTCTATCAGATTTTATTTGCAACATTAGTACAATAAACTCTAAGACACTATGAAGGCAGCAGAGTAATTATTATCCAAAGTATTTTTGCTTAGATACACTTATCTACAAAGTCCTTTTATGACTGCAAAAATTCTGACTCAAAAAGGGCAGTTTTTAGGTTCAAACCCACTTCAACCTGCTAAGCAAAATACAGATTCCCTACCCACATTCTTCATTTTGCAAGAACAGTGGGGTTTATTCTTGGATTCTATCTATTCTGGTTTGGGTTGTTTCCTTTGGTACACAGTATTAGGTAGGACAAGCCTATATTTCAAAATTAAATTTTATTAAAACCATTAAAGCAAAAGTTTTCAAAATATAATAATAAGAAGAAACATTTGGGTTGCCTTGTTACATAATCACTGGCTCTGAAGTTACATAATCACTGGGACAGCTGAAGAGATAAGAGATGGATCTCTCCCCTTTTCAGTGGTAACCCAACATTAGATGTTGCAACATGAAACAAAACTCTAAGGTACATCTTATTTTTACCCACTCTTGCTAAGACTTTCCCTCCACTTCCTGATGCTGCAACCACCTCCTTTCTGCTGGCTTTGATGGGGTTGACCATTGAAGAACAGAGCGCCACATAAGCGCAGCGCAATATGGTTACGCTCTGATGACTCATGTCGGGAATTGGGCGTATGGGCCATAAGGAACGCCGAGCATGACTTACCACACTACAGCCAGGGCAGTCGGGACCATTTTCACACGTCCTGCGCCGAGCTTGAATCCCTCCGCCGCACTGCGCCGTGCAGCGCTCCCATGGACCCCAAGCCGTCCAAAACATATGAGGAGGGCACAACAAGTGCTCATTGCAATATCTGCAAGAAGGGAAAATAAAAGAGAGAGAGGGAAATAATAATTAATTTTGTACCAGAAAAGATATCTCTCCTCCAAACTCCTCTTTTGCATTATTCAGACATATTTCATACATGGAAATACTTTATACAAAGAACCCTTCTCCATTTTTAAAGCTCTGAACAGCTGCACAGTAGACTTGATTATGATTTTGGCCCAATAATTGGGAAAGGGCAAAAGATGTTGTTGGATTATTCAGTGCCTTTATACAACCTATGCGATACAAAAAATACAAGGAACACACAAAGTAGACAACTACCTCAGTATTCAAATAAGCAAAAAGTACTGTAGATATATGGAGTGAGGACTGACTCAACTAAATGAAAGATAATCATTTATGTAGGCAATCTTTTGTCAGTTTCTAAGCCTTGATTAGAATCCATTTCTTTCCTTCTTAGATAGTGGAAATGGCTTCTTCACCTTCTGCAGTATCTCCAATTTTATGGGTAAAATAAAACTTAAATAGTGACTCTAGCTATAAAGAAGTGAATTATTTTGATGGTAGCTAATAATGGCATTTCTTAAAAATCATTTTTGCTTATATTTAGTTTTAGTTTAGTTTTTTTTTTTTTTTTAAACTATCAAGGTGTTGTTATTGTAATGTGATATTTAATCATTTGGAATGGCCCCAACTTTTAGTGAACTTTCTCATTTTATTTTGTAAAAAACTCAAACTCCTCCTCTTTTGAACTTGTCATCTAGTAATACTAAGTGTTGCTTGTAAAGACCTTCTTCACAGGTATAAAAGATATGGGCCATCACAAGTTGTGACTGGGTATCTTAAAGAGACTAAGTTTTTATTCAAGATAAGTTAAAGCCAGGACAGATGCTCAGAAATCGGATGATCCAAAAAGGCTGTTCTGATCTCTTATGAAAGTCCATGAGTAGTTCTTGATTCTACTACTTCTGACTGTCCCAAACAAAGAAATCAATCAGTTACAATATTTCCTATTTTCGTACATGGGCTGCTGTATTCCTTCCTTTCTAGCAACTTTCCATCACTTTGTGCTCTCATGAAATGAAAACTTAAATAATGTATTCCTACACAAACAGAAGCAAGGCTAGTGTAAACTATAAATATTTTCAACAATAGCAATTATAACCACTTTTTTTGTAGAAAACATTTTTTTATTTACTGAGTATATTTTATGTTCCAAATTCTTTGGATGCTGCTTCTTTATGTTATATGTGGTTGCAGGTTTATCATGTAGGTTGTAGTCTATGATTCAAAACTTGTCTTTAGGTCTCAGCAACTCCCTTGAAATTTAAGAGGTTGAGTAGGAGAGAAATAAGAGAGTAAGATTTGGTTTTACAGTTAAGGAAACTGTCAAGAGCAGGTATTGACCTCTTCCATGGTTCTCCAGTAAGAGGAAAAACTCCCCCTAATATTTACTAATCTGCTTTCTCTAAATTCCTCAGTACATGATTTGAGTACATTATTTACATCAGTGGCCTGTGCATAGGCTAATTTTCTTTGTGAAGTTGGAAATTACAGATGCATGGATGCATAAGAATTATAATGTATGGTAAGGCTTATCTCACCTAGAACCAGACTTTTACAGAGTAGATGACTATAAATGAAGTTATCATCTAAAACTGAACAATAGTCAATGGAAAGAAATAGTATTTTTAAAAACATCATTCATGTCACCCTAAAGTAGAGTGCCTAACGTAGGTCCTACAAATCAAATCCTCGTTGCACTGATTTCTCTCCACTGATTATAAAGGTAGTCTGGACAGATCAGTCTAAGGTAGCTGTGGAATTAATTTCATCTAACTTTCAGTGTCTGCATGGGAGACGGTTGTCTCATCTCCCATTACAGTCAATGGAGAGTTCATCAATACAAACAATGGAGACTAGAATGATTAATTTGACCAAGTGCAGGAATCTACAGTAAAGCAAGACAAATGACTCTCTATTCTCCATTTCTTATATTGAAGAGATTTCTACAGACTATGGTACAGCTCAGACATCTGACTGTCAGATTAATACTCACACTGTAGACACCTAAAGTTAACTGTGATAAATCTCACATAGATGAGAATCATTACACTTCACTTCTCTGTACAGTGCCTCTTCTAAATGTCAAAGTGCCATGTCACCTGCTCTGTCACTTAAGTGGGAGACAGAAAATAAACATAACAATTGACACAGTAAGCACTTCAAAGGTTTACAGTGTCAGAAGTCTGGTAACCAAGACCAAGGGACAGAGCTGAAACTGCAAAAGGAAACTGAAAAACATCTAAGAGGTCCATTCAATGCTTAGCTTTCATTTAGGAAAGAAATAAAAAGAAAGAAAGAAACAAACAAAAAAGTAAAGAAAAAAGCCTTATTTTGGTTTATTTGTTTTTTGTTTCTTAAGGGAAAAAAAAGGAACATCAAAGCATATAACTGCAATCTTATTTTTGCTTCAGTGAGCCATCTCCTGAAAATATAAAATATGCTTTTATACTGAGAGACATCCCTGCAACTGGTCTTTCAGAGCTTTGCTACAGCAAGGGTTTTTGAGCCAAGTTTTATTATGCTCTTCTTGGCTGCATTTCAAGTATCTCAGTAACCCCCTTTTCCCATTTGCACTTTTGCTCTCTCTTCCCCTTTCAAATTTGTTCTCAGGACCCACAGGGCTAACAGTTTAGAGTAATTCAGCAAAGCATGCAATATAAGAAACTTAGATCTGTGAAATGACTGCCCTCTCCCCTAATCCCTTCTCTGACTGTGATCAGGTCAGAAGGGAGAACAGCCTAGAAAAAGGCACGTTCGGTACAGTGACCCTTCCCATGCAAGAGGGAACTCAAGTTCAAATGCCTTAAATAAATGACTTATCATACAGGGGAGACAGAGAGCACCCTCTATCCAGATCTAGTTGATAATCAGTAGTTCATGGAGTAGTTTTTAATTTTTACTGAGGCAATTCCAAATTCCAGTACAACTGCAACTGTTCTTGTTCCTATCCTGATCTGACTATCCTTTATTAATATGTGAGGTTTTTTCCATCTTGACATGAAGTACTGAGTACCTCAAGATTAAAGGTGAGGTTTTTTTAGATGTCTAAAGAGATTCTATTTTATTTAAACACATAATTTTCAATTTTTAATATAGTATTGCACTAGAGTGTATTTAAGAAAAACAAATCTCCATCACTATCCTTTTTCTATGAAATACTCCATCCTCTATCCTATTTCTATGAAATACTTTCTTTGTAGCAGGTACTAGTGGTTACCAGCTGTTGACTTATGGAAAGCACACTCTATACTGAAGTTGACGGGAATGCTGCATTCCTGAAATCAAAAGTAGACATATGATGCAAACAGATGCCTTTTGGGAGGAGATGGCTAAAACAACAGAAATCTTCCAGGGTTTTCAAAGCATTACTCCTCACCTCCAAATAATTTGTTTTTCTGATTGGCTGTGTCTTTTTTTCTTTCTTCTTATGTCATGGAAGACAAATATATTTACTAAAACAAAGGCTTCTTGCTCTCATATCCCTCATTTCTGCACAAAATAGAGGGAAATCAGTCGCTTTAGTGGGTCCTCTTTCCACAGAAAGAGGTTCGATAAACATTTTTACTCAATGAAGAAATAAAGAGAGGACATGTAAACTATGTAAACTAAAACTTGAAGATTTTTCCAGCAGCTTCAGGGAATATTCCACTCACAGGAAAAAAATGTAAATTAGTAAATCCCTAAAGAATATCAAGATGTCTTCCATCTTGAGTTTCACAACCTATATATATTTCTTCTGATAAACAAGCTTTATTAAAATACAAGTTTTACTCTTTCCATGCTCTTTCTAAACATACAGGACATCAGCTTCAATTTTGACCTATTTCTACAGAGCAAATTGGCTTTGTATCCTAGTTTTTGCAGCACTCTCAAATGTTTTTAATTCCCCATTTTAGCAAAAGAGTATGCAACAGTATGACTTTAATTTGGTAACTATTGCCATGTATTTCAAGAGAATGATTAACAAGCACGAACTTGCTTGCTACATAAAAAATTGTAGGAACATGGCCTTCATGAGGAAAAACAGATATAATCTAGTCAAATGTTTCACCTTTAATACATGAACATAACTAAAACTGTATATTCATCACATTTGTAGGAGGATTTGTTTCACCCCATGCTGAATAGGGCAATGCATGAGAGGGCAAAATTTTCTAACATAGCACACCTTGAACTAAACTATATGGATCCTTTTGAAAGTATCAGTACACATCACAAGTAACCTGAACAAGATCAGAGTAAGGGTAGGAAGATTGCTGTGAGCAAGCAACTCAGTTGAAGCGGGCTGGATATGGAGATGTAATATTTGTTAGAGGCAAGGGTGCTTCAAGGAGAGATGAAACAGGTAGAGGAACTAAGAAAAACCAAGGGTGCTCTGCAATAAGTTCACAGGTGCATCCATCTCAGATTGCTGCTCAGCTGAATAAGGAGCAAAAGGACATGTTCCTTGCAGGCTACAAAAGCACAGAACCTTAAAACTCCTGTTTCTTCAGAACAAATACATATTAAAAATCAACCTTTTAAAGTTATTACTGTTTCAACTCATTGTATAACTTTCCATTTTTTTTTAGTGCATTTGTTTTCTTAATAGCAGACATTTTTGCTTTTACAATCGCCTAAGTATTTGTTTTCTGCATCTCCCTAAATCTCCTTATTGACCTTTTTATTTCATGTTAAAATTAAGATAAACAATAATTTCTAACATTCATATTCCAGCCAGCACCAAAATGGCTATTCAAACACAACTCTTTTCTTCTATATTCACTCTTACTGTGCCTTGCCCTAGACTGACCTATCACTTCAAAGATATCAGTAACTTATTCATGATGGAAAGAGTTATGTAAATCAAGTAATTCTGCATTTGGTGGTGACAGCTTTTTTGTTGAACAACCTACTTTCAGAAAGCAATTTACAGAAGAATAAAATGCTCCCCTCTGTGATGAAATCATTTTATATAATCATGGGTTCTGAAACAGCAAGAAGTGTTCACGTGTGCTGCCATACTGATGCTTTACCCTTGGAATCAGAATGACAGAATCCTGTTCTTGATCTTCTTTCAGTACATAAATATGTGATGCAGCTTCCCTTCATTGGGATCTCTTCATCTGACAAAATGGTAGGGCTGATGTATAAGGAAATCCCTCATTGAATCTGATCACAAAAGTTACTGAATCTTGCTTTTATCTGGCTGCAACATATGATGCTAAATCATTCCTTCTTTGCTTATGTGAAAGTATTTTGTGGAGTAAGCTACAAGTATGTACTGAGAGCAAATTTACCCTCACATATCTCTTGGAATGATACTACAGTACTCCAAATGCTAACACTACTCAAAGTCTTCTGCTTGCAAACTTTTTGGCAAGCCTCAGAAAATAAGATAATACATACAGAAATTGTAGTCTGCCTTAATGGATATCTTTGGTTTAAAGAAACATTTAATTGCTGTTATAATTCATGGCACATAACTTGCAAATTAGAGGCTTTAAGATGTACGGCTAATGGAATCAGAGACTTAAGCTTTACATTCTCAGCTAGTGACAAGAAGCCCAGTCCTGTGCATAGCAGACTATGAAATCAAATCTTGAGTTAGATGCCTGACTTGATCTTATGAGGGGTTTATATATAAATATATATAGCATGTATATGTAACATACATATATTACATGTAATATAGATATGTATACAATATACATATATATATAAATACATATATACACACACACAAACAATTTAAGCTTTCCTGAAACCTTACTAAAACATTTTTGAGTCCAAGCTGTAATTTTGTTATTTAAACAAAGCCCCTGAAAGTTACAAAATGAAGCCCCTGAAACTTCCCAACATGTTATACACATGCTCAATTAATTTTAGATGGAAAATTAACTCACAGTATCAGTAACACAGTATTGTGACCTTGCTATATTTTGCTCTGAATTCCAGATTCTTGAGCCTGTTCAAGACACACCGCAATCAATTTTCCAGGAGAATCAGCTTTCCGAGTCTCAAGGGGCAGCAAAGAGGATTGCTTCAGCACAGTGCTGAATACAGCTGAGCAGAAGAACTTAAAGCAAACGATAGAGAAAGGAGAGCTCACCTTTCCTCGCGATTCTGCCCCACGCAGACACGTCCTCCGTGTCGAGGCGTTGGGTTGCTGCAGGAGCGCTGGCGAACTTGAAAGCCTATTCCACAAGTGGTACTACAAGGGGACCAAGAAGTCCATGGCGTCCAGCCTCCATTTCTGGTAGAACAAAAAGCTCAGGCTCTGTCATCTGTTATACATAGCGAATGGCTGATTAGGTGTGACTGGCAACAGAACCCGGCCCATTAATATTTCTGTAGAAATCATTTATTCTGCATGATGTTCCATTTCTTAAAAAAAAAATTGAGCTAAAATATAAGTGCTCTCATCCTTCCATATTCCCTGCTTTGTATCAGCAGCTGCTAGGCAGACTCCATGGCATAATATGTAAAATACAGAAACACAGTGTCCAAAGATATGAAGCTATTCAGTATCTTTCAGTCAGTCTATTCTGGGTAGATCTGATCTTCAAATTCCTGTATCAAAGTCATGAAGATAACTTTAAATTATGTATTTAATTAATTATTTGTGGTTCTTTTTAAAGGGAGATTAAATGTCAGGTTTTGCTCCCTCTTCTGTAAGGAAATGATTAGAAAAGAGAAAAAAGTCTCAAGAGAAATAAGAGTTAAGATGTATTAGATCACAATTTCAGTAAGATATTTCCAGTACAAAAGTAGTGGACCAAAAGTCTAAAAAGGAATTTCTTACCCTGTCCCACAGGAGGGGAAAAAAAAAAAAAAACACCTCAGCAATGTCTACAACTTTACAATGCCTAGTCTACACTTTCTGTATTGATGACAAAACAGAACAAACAGAAAATCAAGAAAATCAAATTCCAATGAGTTCTTGAAGTTTCATCATAAAAGCACAAGTTAAAATAATGCCTTACTTGATTTTGAAATAAAGTGGTTTTTAAAATTTGAAAACTAACTAGACTCAATAATAAAGAAGGAAAAAAAAAGATTATTTCAGTAGAAAATATCAGTTTAAGTGTCGTTAATCTTCATGTATTGCAATTGTGAAATTTCGTTGTACCTGGAGCAGTTGGCAATTTCCACGCTCGGTCCTTCACAGAGCCAACCTCCACACTGGGGAGCTGGGCTGTCGCACAGACGAGTCCTGCAGAGGCAAGAGCCAATGCTGGCACCATCCGTGTGGATGCAGGGCTTCCACTGGGACCACACTCCAAAACTTCCGTCCACAGTCAAATTCCTGGTCTAGGAACAAACAGAACAGAAAAGCCTTTTCTGAATCCTGGTATCTTTTTCTTTGCTTTTTTTTTTTTTTTTTTTTTTTTTTTTTTTCTGCCTCCCACACAGCAAACTCTTCTGGTTGCAATTTCTGCAGCTGCATAAGCCCCAGCACCCACTCCAACACCCCCAATCGATATGGGCCACTGAAATCTTCTCCTGTAGCCAGGAAAATAACTGTGATTAACTGATACCTTTGACAACCATGCCTCTCTACAGTAATTACACAGAATAAACAGTTTCACTTTCTGAGCAAGAATGCTTATGCAAACTTGGATCTAGACCAAAAATAAGAGATAGCACGGGATAACGTTCAAATTAAGGGAAAGGCTTGAATCAACCTCAAATCTTCAGGATGAGCACTCCTCCTTTTTTTTTTTTTTTTCCTTTTTTTTTTTAATAATCATTTTTTGAAATATACATATATTTCAAAAATCATTTCAAAAGAATTAGATGTGTTGTTAGGTATGAGTATCAATAAACATTTTAGGTCATTATATGCATGTGTCCTAAAAACATCCTTAAAGGCAAAAGTAGCATACTATTCTAAGTGGTGAACCAGCTCCCCTCCCACTACAGTCAATTCTCAACACTTATAGTTTTAGGGTTCAGATCATTCTCATCTTATTTCTCATCTTATTGTGATAGTATTCTTATGCTATCAAAACACATGTTAATATGATTTTTTAATTGATATAATTGAGATAATTTATTGTTATAATTGATGGGGAACTGTCCAGCTAAATAAAATGCTTTAACTCCAATTCTATCAGTCTTCACTGCTACTGGAACTTTCAAAGAAACTGAAAGTGGACATAAGGAATTCAGCTCTCTTGGCCTTTGTAATATTAATTTTATTTATTTATTATTACCAAGTGTTTACCCTGGTTATCCTCATAAATGGAAAAGATGGCCATTTTTTCACTTAAATGTTAATCGACTTGCGAGGTTCAGTTATCACATTTTATTTTTCAGTTAACGCAACAGAACTAATAAAGGAAAACTAAACAGTACCTAAATTTATTCTTAGATTAAGAATCTAAGAATAAGATTAAGAATCTGTTGCATTCCTTCATATCTTATCAAATGTGTTAGAACAATGTAACACATATACTCCACTAGGAGGTAAAATTGAAAAATTATTATGAATTAAATGAAATCGTGTCAATGGTATCTCCCTTGACTATTTTTAATATCACTTCATTTATCCATGGTGGGAAGCATATGTTTCACTAATAATCTGAAGATACAAAAATCAAATCAATCACAAAAAAAAGACATGCTGGCTGATTCATTTCACTTTGGAAAAGGTTTTTTAATTTCATTATTAATTATTTCTCTCATGATTTATCCTTCACAGATACTGCTTCTCCAAGGAACATATACATTTATATTCTGCTCACTCATTATTCATCATTCTGGAGTTATGACACCTGTTGGCTGAAAATAATGCACTGATCCTTGCTCACATGCAGTGTCTGCTCTTACTTCATGTGAAATGCTTTGTTGTGTTTTAACTGACAAGCATACTTTCTCTCTTACATTGCTGTTTTTAAAAATATATATAGTCCATAAACCACTAATGATATTTCCCCGGTCCAATTAATGTCAGAAGTGTGAAAAATATCTTTAATGCTTTCTTTCCTGTGTTGTACCAAAGCCTTTTTACCATCGCAGCTCCAATTAGAAACTAAACCTGCAGTTGCCTATGGTTACTATAATTTACAACAAATGACAGGAAAGTTATTCATCAAACCTGCATAAAGGCACGAGCTAGGAAACATATACTGATGGCAGGTTTGTCTGATTTCCCCCAACTCTTGTAAAGCTCTTCTCAGAGCAATCCCTTCTGTTCCTCAGAACTATAAACAAGCTCCTTCATCATTGTGAAAAAATATTAGACAAATTACAGCACTATCTGACCAAATGGATGAAGTTCAAAACAGGTATGTGTACAACAGCACTTATTATTGTACACAGAATTGGCGTATTCATGCCCACCAAAACAATACCTAAAATATTTACTTGAGAATTGCAACTTGTTATACTCTCTTTTTTAATTTTTCTTTTTTTCGTTTGCCAGTGAATCAAAAGGCCTCAAATCATTTGGTTTTAGAAAAAAAAAATGTCCATGCATTTGTCTCTCAAATTTTCTGTAGCATTAAAAAGATCAATCAATACATTGGAACCAAATGGAACCAGAATAGATGGTAGAAAGTTTTGTAATGCCCTGATAAGTTTTGTTTTCAACATTATCTTAGCTGGATACAGCAACAGACATGGATGTGCACAGCTTAGCCACCTGCAAAACATAATAAATGATATCTTGGCTTGTATATCCTGTGAATATAGCATTAAAAAAAAAAGCTAAAAAAAATTGAAAGCTTTACTAACTCAAATTGTAGCCTATTGCAATTTACCAGAATACATTGCTGTTTTAAAATAAAGTTTCTACGAAGTCAAAAATTTGTACAATAACAGGCTTTTAAGGTTTTAGAAAGCAAAATACCACAACTATCCCTTCCAATTTACAGAGATAGTTCATTAATATTATTATTATTTTTTTTTTTAGTATGCAATTCCTATTTCTGTAATCCCTTTTGGGATTACTTGGTTTATCTTGTCATCTCTGATCTGCAGAATAAGTCTCAGAGATGTGGATGGATTTGCAAGCCAGTCTTTGGTGCTTCTCTACTTTGTCTGCACTGTCAGATCCTACAAAAATGTCATGTAAGACAGAATAAAAAAATTGCTTTTCAGTTGAACCAGACACAATTGAAGTCTCTTTCTTAAGCCACGAATCCCTCCTCTTTTATAACCACTAAAGAAAGTAAGAGTTAATGCCAGAATTCATAGACTAAGCAATAGGCAGACTGCCCATGCAAATAACAAACCCACCCACTGCAGTAATTCTTCCCAATATAGCACCCCAGCTAGACCACCAGCAAGCTCTCCACGTAACCACATTTATTCTGTGGGAATACTGCAAGGAGATATGATATGCTTCACACTTGGAAGTGAATCTAGTTACAGGGCATCTAGTTACTTGACAATGATGGGCTGCACTAGTGACTGAACTCAGCCTTTCTGTGAGACAGTGGCTGTATCTGTATTACCAAGTGGCAAGGACATAAATTTCAAATCCAGTAAGTAAAACAATTGGTGTTGAACATGCATACTGCATACACCATTCACATTTTGTGGGGTTTCCTATAGACTCCCTATGGCTATGGACCTTATGCCTATCAGTTCATATCACACTGTTGTTTTAATTTAACATGAAAGTAATGCAGCTTATGTACTTCAAAGGTGGGTTTCTGATGTGAACCGAGATCAGTAAAAGTGAAAAATCAAGCTATATGTCCTCGAAGCTTCTCCTGATTTTGAACCAAAATGATAATGCAGATGAATCCAATGAAGGCCTTTTTTACTGCGCCACTATGTCGGACCACAGACGCAGAGGACAGGACAAAATTTTGTTTGAATGATTAATAATGTCAAGCACTGACAACCCAGCACTCAGAAGCTAGTTCCCGAGGACTTCAAAATCAGCACAGTGATTTTTGTCTATCAGATTGCTGCAACACATGTAGAGATCACAAACAAGAGTTAGAAGTGCTCCACATGGAACCTGCAAATTTTTAATTCCTTAAACAAGTACAGCCTAATAGAGATTAATAGTCAGTAAGATTACTAATAGTCAGTAAGAATGAGATGAGGTAAGGATGAGCTTGTTAAAGACATGAAGAATAGGACATGGATGTCATATTAGTATAAATTCATACACAGCACGTGGGGACGAGCCTAGGAAACCCTTGTTACTGGTGAAGAATTGAATGGTAAAGGTTTCCTCTTCATGAACAGAAGACAAAGTAGCGTAAGTCTACAACAGGCAGAGTTTGGTAGAAGAAGGAAAATCCTTTTCCCTCTGTCCTGCTCATAGATGAGAGGGAAAAGAATCACTGTTAAAACAACACTGGAGTCATATTGCAAAGAAGGGGTATAAAATCAACTTTGTTGCTATTTATTTCATATTAAATTTATATTCAAAATAATTTTTAAAGCGAATTGATTAGCAACGGTAAATATTAAGTGTATTTGCTGCAACTATCACTTGTGACATTATGTGAGGTAGACCTTACTCCAATATAATTTATCTCTCTATGCACTTTGAACAAATTCTATGGTTTCTTTATATTAGCAATATATGTTGCTAATAGCTATTGCTATGGTCTTAAAATGAAAGATCTTCCAGTAATTGCATCTTTAAAGTACAAAATGGGGAAAAATATTGCAAAGGAAAAATGTGTCAACCTCTCAAATCTTTTGTGAAGAGATTTGCTGCAACATACAGATGTTGCAGCAAAAAAGCAACTACCTTTTGAAAGAACAATAAATAATTTGATCATGTGATAAAGCAGTTTGATAAGAAACTAAACTCTTGATTCAAATGTGGTGGGAAGGCCTGAGGCTATGAAAAAATTCTTTCTGAGCTTGAGAAATTTTCAACCATTTTGTTTTTGAGATCCACACAGAATCACAAATCTTGAGAGATAAATAAAAATTTTTTGGACTTACTGGACACACAGTAATGCTTTGCTCCCACTGACTCATGCTCAGACTTTCTTCCAGTGTTGTGCATTTCTTCATCACCATGTCCCAGCCACAATAAGGATCTTGGGATCCAATGCATGCACTGTGAATGAAAACCAGTCACACAACATGAACATTTACCCTTATATGTTCAGGCCCCAGGATCTCTCAATAACCAGATGGTTTCTCTTCATATTTCATAGATTCAGAGGCTACTGTGAAAGTGATCTCTGTAATGCCGTGGTCAGATGAAATGACAAAGGAGTAAATAGTGATAAATGAATCTGAATGCCTCTACAAAGCTAGGATTCCTTTAAAGTGCAAAGCTGAATATCCCCCTGCATGAGGGATATGTAGTCAAAACTTAATATTGTACTTAATTGTTTTAGAATTACAGTCATAGAATTTAATTGCTATAAAACGACAGCAAGTCAAAAAAACACACATTTTCTGCTCCAGGTGAAGGATTCCAGGTAAAGGAACATAGGTTCTCAAAAGGAAATTTGAGATAGAGGGAGGGTGTCCGAAAATAATCTATAAATTAATCCTGGAAACAGGTTAACTATTCCAACCAAAGTGATGAGAATTTTTCTCTAAGAGATACTCCTTTCATGTGGTCATTTTTTTTTAAAGTTGCATTCTAAGGAAGTGTTCCAGACATGATATCTAAGCATCATACTGGAAAAAAAAAATTATATGCTTCAATAGGCTAACACACCAATAGTTTCTAATCAGTCCTCTCTTTCTGGCTGTTCAATTCATCATGTTAGATGTATTCATGCAGTGAGGCAAAGCCTGGCTTAAACATTATCCTCAAACAAGAGCTACCTCCTTCTGCCATGTCCACAGGCCTTGGCACACTGCTCCCTTACTGTTCTCCTTCCTCACAACTCAGGGGACTTTCATATTCATGTGCTTTCAATAACTCAGATCACAAATAGCTCTCAAAACTATATATTTTATATATATACATATATATATCTTCTTGCTTTAAAATAACAAGGAGATGAGAGGTAATATCTGCTTAAAAGTTTATCTATTTTTTGTTCCATTGTGTCATCTTTTACAAATATTTTCTTTTGAGGCATAACAGCACCTACTAATTTTGTACAGCTGTGTCTAGATTTAAACAAAAACAACAACAAAAAACACAGACAACAGAGATAAATTTACAGATCAAAAGAGATTAAAGCTTTTTAAGTTTGCAAAGATCAGAACTTCTGTCCAAACAATGAAATTTAATGGGACTGTTATTAATCCACATTTCTGTCTCTACTCTTCAAAAACAAAAATTTCATATTGATTTAATTCCTTTTTAATGCTTCCCTGTCCAAGGAGAAAACAGCAAATGGAACTGCATCATTGTATAGATGAAATAACAAAATAAATTGTTGTCTTCTACATGGTTGCCAAATTTTTATAAGTAAACTTGAAAATTAGATATTATTTAACTTTGTCTCCTTCCTCTTCAAAAAACCCTAAATTAAAACCATTTTACATATTACTGTTAGAAATTTGCACAATTTTTAAAATTAGGATTAGATCTCTTAGTTGACAGGAAGACCATTTCCAATAGGGACAGAGTAACTGGCATAACTGGATAATATATTAACTATCTTATAGCCAGCTTATATTAGCTGTCTGCCTTAAATTTTTATTTCATCAGATATGAAAATGAATGTATTGTTTGTTACTCCCAATAAGTGCCAAGTAATATCCCTAGCACTTAATAAAGGTGAATTGGTTTATCATAAAAGCCTTGATGCAGCTTACACTAGTAGCATAGAGAGAAGGTTCTCACTACAAAACTATTCTACATGCTTTGGCTTCTACTGCTTGATTCCAGTTTTCTTCTATGTCATCATTTACCATTTGTTATCAAAAGTAAATTATCAAGTATGTCTTCTGCAACGCATTCACTGAACCTTTGTGAAGATTCCATACGTTTCGTGATGATTGTGTAACATTTAAACACTGTATTTTTATTGAATACTCACGGAGGTGTAAGTTACACTAGTCTAAAGCAGGTTAGCAAGAACTGTGTATCTACGGAGCTACCTATGCTTACCCAGTTCCAATTACTGTCCTCTATAATCCATATATTGTGTTTATTAGCAACTGAACTGATGTCTCCATCTTACTCCACATAAAACAGATTCCTCACAGGAATATAAAGATAAAAGACTGCCTTAAGTTCCAAAATCATTGTGCCTTTCAGGTCTAAATGGATACACATATCTGATGCTAGACATATATAAACAGGTATCTGTCAGTGTATTCATTATTACTGGTTTAGCACATATATATGCAACGAAGAAGGGGGATCTACAAAGAGAGGTGACTGATGTCAAAGAATATAAATGTAGATATACAATTTAGAGGGTCCAATAGGCTCAAACTGAGATGCGTATGAAATATTCAGAGTCTTGCTCAACTCTTCCTTGTAATGTTAAGAAAAATCAAAGCTTTTAATCATCTCAGTCACTCTGTGTGGGACTGCTACTGCCTCCTCCTACTTCCATTTCTTTAAAACAATTGGAATAGATCTAGGTATGATTCAGTGTAGCAGCATACAATGATAACACTAGCCTTAAATCTACAAGCTGCTACCTTCAAAGCCAAAGCCAGGGATTTATATATTATTTATGTATTATTTATTTATTTATTTATTTATTTAGTGAAGGGTTTATAACTCACAGCTCTTTGAATACAGATGCTTGCAAGTTGCTCTACCATGATTCTGGGAACAAATTTGAAAGCCATCTTTCAGAGAGCTCTCTCCACAAGAGAATGGAGGTTTATCATTTGTTGGAAAGAAATAAGATCTGTGGGATCCCAGGTCCCCATCCATGGTCAATCAGACAGACACAGTTTCCAACACTCTGATTAGGAGGTAGGAGTAAGAGAATGCCAAAAGCAAATCCATGGCAGGCAAATAGGCTCAAAACTCTGAGTTACCTACATTACAAGGCTATCTCAGAACAAGAGATTTGGGGATTCTCCTACAAGTTCCTGTGACAAAATTAAAGGCCCCTTTTGAAAATTTATTTCTATACATCTTTAATAATAAATATGACTCTATACTGAGAGATGTATATAATAAGGGTGTGTGTGCATATGTGTGTATTAAATGCATTTATTTGTCCACCTATCTAGATATGCATAAAAGGGGGGGAAAAAAAAGACCTAAACCAAAACAAAAAAACTTGCCTTAAGATCAGCAAATAAATATGGTCAAATTTACCTTTTAATATTAGTTTTAAATTTTAATAACTACAGAAGAATTTCTACCATAAAAATATTTTGAAGTTAAATAGTATGAGGCAGATAACAACATTCTCATTAAGTTCCACAGGTTTTCCAAGACTGAAAATGTTCACAAGAACAACTCCTTCAGATCTAAAATCTCTTCTTGGAATCCTGACTGCAGTTCATACAGTCACAGCAAGAATACTCTTGCTCTCAAACATCCAAGCCCATAGTAGACTCCCAACAAAAAGAAAATCTCCACAAAGAGATCAAGAGATCTCTTTTCTCATGAGAAAACAACTGATGCAGAGCACTATGAAGTGAGATGCATAGTATATGAACTGGCCTATCTGGGTAGCAATCCTGTATAGGACATCTTAAATTATTTAAAATAAAAGTTTTTCAAACTTGATCACATTTTTCACCTTCCAATCTCTTTAATTTCTCTCCTCAGAGAAATTAATCACCAAGTATCAAGCAATTATTGAAATGATCTCTTTGAAAATGGCTTGCTTTATGCATGTAAATTGATTTGAAATGAAAACTTACCAGCAGCAACATTGGAATTAAAATTTCCTAAACTTAAACCTCATCTTTTGGTATTGCTTAAAGCAAAGAAATCAGCACATAAGAAAACCACAAGCCTGTTTTAAATTTTTATTTCTTAGGTCACTTCTTTCTTAGGTCATTTCTAAAATGATAACTACTCGCAAAATCTGTTTTTCTTAGGACTTTGCAAATCGAAGGAAAAGACATTTTCTTTTGTCCCATTAAGAATGCTGCATTAAGCATAGTGTGGGCAGGCTGTAAATTCCTAACTGTTTATCAAAATTCTTAAAATAAAATGCATGTAAGCAGAGATATACAAATGGTTGACCATATAGAAGAGTTTTGAAGTGCAGGAAAATGTGAATGCCCAGTTTGTGAATTAGCCCAGTTTGTCTCTGATGGAAGTCTACGGCTAGCAAGACACACTCAGTTTCTTGAAAAACTTTGTTTTTCAGAGAAGAAATACAAAATATATTTCAGTCGCTGGTCTATATAGCTTGAATTGATTCCATTTCCAGTGGAATTATGAATGAGGAAAACTTCCAATTATTATTTATTTCACAATTTTATTACCCAGCAATATTTTAAATATATAATGTAAAAACATTATTTTTCCTATCTTTCAAACACATTAGATAAGTCACTATTGCATAGCTTTTAGCAGACAGAACTATTTGTTCAGAAATTAGACATAACTTCCAATTAATTAGTTTTCAAAACTTCTAAGTTCATTAAATCTATCTTTGATCAGGAACAACAATTCCCAATGACTTGCTTGACAAGACTATGTAGTACATATGATATAAACTCTCATTGCCCCTATGCCTATTACTGATACATTGAAAAAATCCAGTGCAAACTACAACCTCAACAAATTTGCCAAATTTTGCTACAGCTGGCAGTAACAGAATGATGACTAGTTCTTTTAGAGGACTGAGTCCTTACCTCGTATGTCTTGCTCCTTATTACATACATAAAGTCCTGAAAGCCAGGAGTAAGAAATGCAGTTTTAGAGATCTTAGTAGTTTGTGATAATTATTTTATCATCTTCAGCTATGGCTAATTAGCTGCACAAAAGTCAGCTGTTGTTTGTTCTTGGCCTACCCAATCTGAAGAAGTGCTGAGAGCTGTTGAATTAGGAGTGCAAATAGTTTCTCCAACAAATAGTATTGCTGGTCTTTTGTAAAATTATGATATACCTGAGTGAAATGTAATACCCAGGTAATAAAAGTCTAGTCAAATCAGAAGCATTTTTTGCAAGGAGAGCCAAACTAGAACAATTAATATGCTGATGTCAGAGTGCCTGCCATAAAAAGCATAACATAAAAAATGCAATAAAAAGCTTTCTGTTGCATAAAAAGCTTTCTGATCAACCATTTGCAATAATTCACATAAACCAAACTTTCCCCCCATCCCCTCCAACTCATTCTTGAAGATAGCAGTATTACAAGCAGGACTTTCAAAATACTCAGCCATCGTTAGAGCTCTGAGGAAGACACCCTGCATGGAGATAGTCAGCATAAATAAGCAAGAAATGGCAATTCATATATAGTGAAAATAAACATTGTGGCATAAAGGCAAGTACTGAACAACTCTATCCAAAGACAGGACAATAGGCTCTGCTTGTGATATTCTCTGCTGCCCTAGTATTAAGAGATACAATGAACTGTACTTAGATCAGTAGAAAAAAAAATCAAATTCCTTTTCAAATGTAAAATAATATTTTCAACTGCCTTTGATAAAAATGACTGTGGGAGCAAATGACTACAAAAAGGTAAAAGGGATTATGCAGAGCTGAGCTGATACTGGTGGAATAGGACTTAAATCACAGAAAATGTTCATCACAGGAAACCATCAACAAGAATACCTATCCTACTTATAAAAGCACTCGAGGAATGGATTTATAAGGAAATATTAATGACCTAATATGTATAGCATATCAGTGACAAGGGGACATGATAAACTTCTAATAAAGATGGGCTTTAGAGGTTGATACATGAAGGCAAAACAAGAAATGCTGAAATAAAAATTGTTTTTATGTAAAGAAAAAATAGACAATCACAAGAAAGTTTTCTTGACATTGAGATATTAGATTATGGAACAGTCTACCTAACAAAAAGACCAAAATCATGTTCTGAAGACACATAGTCTGAAACTTTTGCAATAAAACTAAAAAAAAAAGTTAAGAAAAGATTAGACTCTGAACCCTCTGCTACTAACATATAAAAACAGATGAGCTAGTACTTCTTCAGATTTTTGGCTTTTTTAAGGCTGTTATTTACATACAAGCATGCTCTATTTCTCAAAAATTATGTGAAGCAGATATTAAAAACTACACTTTGCCCTTCATCTGTGAAAGAAACTCCTGTTTTATTGATGAAAGTTCATTATATAGCCTTGGTGCAGTTATATAGTCCTAAACATGATAAATGTGAGTAGATAAAATTAAAATAATCAAAACCAAAGAATCACAATGCTCCAGGGTAACTTGGAGTATTGGTATCCTAGTCTATCAATCTTTTTTTCCTCGATAAGATTTTCCTCTAATTACCATTTGCTATAGCACAGAAGTAGCAGCTGGTAAGCAATAACAAGAATTTGAGTAATGCAATGACTAAGTTTCAGGTTAGGTTTTTCTTGTCTAGTCAAATTCATGGCCTTGAGTAAGGTACATACATTTTCTCTGCATGTACAAAAGCAAATAGCCTCCAAATTCAGCATGGTGAGCCAGAACAGTCTAATGAAGTCAAAAATGGTAGGTGAGAGAAAGATTAAGTCTGGATTATCTAAAGCTTCTCAGTTTCCCATGATGGATGTAAGAAGACGCCATACTTTATCGAGATTACAGGTCAAAATCATCTCCTTCCCCACAAAACAGAAAGAGAGAGAATTGGTGAACTTATATTTACTGGGAAGAAAGCATGGTGGGCTATCCTTTTGGTGCATTGAATACTTAGTGATTCCAAACAAAGTGATACAGCTACAGAAGATATGACTGAAAATCCTCATGAAGAATAGTTGCTTCCTTTGAGCAAGTCACATCGATGGAGGATGATAATTCATATTCCTCTGGGCAGAGGAATAAATTATCAATGGAGCACCCATGAGGATGTGAGACTTACAGTTCTATTCAGTAAACTGGGGACAGCTCAGTTTCCTCCTCTTAATGTTTTAATACAAGGCTGAATGCTCAGAATTTCATAACCTCATTAATATCATATGCACTGAAATGTGCTGAATTTGGATGCAGCCTGGAGTTGTTTCAAGTGGAACGCAGGCTTGGTGCTAATACAGGACACCAATCTACTGAGATCTTTGATTTAATCATTCCTATCATGCACATGTCCCTAAGAAGATAAGGGATAACAGCCAGTCCCACTAAACACATCTATATTCATAAACAGATGTATTCATGAAAACACATTCAACATCTTGCACAACCAGAATGGCACAATCATCTCATTGGGATAATGGAAGAGAAAAGCACAGGAATGTCATTAAACTTTTTCCCTCCTGATATACAGACATGCACATGCATACATACACACACAAACCCAAGTCCTTCACATAACCAAGTCATTAACCAAACCAAAAAGGGCTACGGTACCACCAAATATCCTTTTTAAAGTAGTTACAAAAAAAGAAAGAAAGCTGAACCTTGCCCCTATGATAGATATAAAATCAACCAGTTTGATGTAGAAATTGGCCTACAATTTTCCTTAAAGTCAGTTTTGCATGACCTTCAGTGGGGCTTTTTATCTCCTATTACTTCTATTTTAGCAGAAAAGAATTGGGAAGAACCAACTTTTTTAAAGTAAAGGTAACTAAGTGCTGCAATGTAAGAGACAGCATAAATGAAATAGGTTTGTACATAACAACTCCCTCATTCCCTAGTCCATCCAGATTTCTAGAGCAGAATTTGATCAACTGAAAATATCTCAAATTTATCTTTTAATTTTAAGCTTTAAATATATTACATCAACAGCTCTGTTGCACATCATCAGGTAATTATTTGCAATATAAACCATTCCTTAATGTTTCATTTGTGCAATACAAATTCTGTATGATGTCATTTAAATACCAATACAATTTCTTGAGAGTCCCATCTTGTGATAGCAAGTTAGTTTACTAAGAGAAGTCCCCAGAGACTGTTCCAATGAGCAGTGTACATACAAAGCCACGACTACAGAGTAGTAAATAATCTGCAGCCACTTTGACTTCCCACTTTCCCCGCAAAGCTGACATGCAGTTTTCTCCAAGAAAGCTCAATGATCCTCTATACCTGTATGTTTTGTAGAAGAGACATCTCTTCAGGGGCACCTTAACCACATGCTCTTGCAGGCCCACAAACAGAACGCTCTGGCTGTGCAGGATCTGGAGACTCCTGATGGGTTCCCTCTTACTCGCTGGCAAGAGTTCAATTTCCTCAAGCAGGCAGCTGCCGGATGTTTGGTTCATTGGGGCAAGTACCTTCTTAATAGTGCCATAATCTGTAAAAGTAAGATGAAAAGTAGTGATTCTCTCTATTCAGTGCCATTCAGAGAACCATCTTCCATTTCAGAAGCTTTCAAAGAAGCTTAAGCTGTGAGACATTAACTAGAGTTTAAGCTTCACATCAGTAGACAATGGAAAATAAGCATTGCAAATTTGTTTATTATGAATTCACAATCACAAAATTTACTCATGAAGGTTTTTCTTTTTTTTTTTTTTTTTTTTTTTTTTTTTTTTACCAAATTGTAGTGCACTGTATGAGGGTTGAAGTAGTTTACAAAACAATGAGGTCTATTACTGCCGTAGTCCTTTTTAAAATTGAAAGTCTTAAAAACTCTGGATCTTAAATATGAAGAGTATTTAATGTGTATGAATATATGCATGTTCTTTGAGTTGTGAAACACCACACTTCAGCAGCAATGTAGGTCATACAGTAAAAGAGGAGAAATTCTTACCCAAGATCTACTTCTGTCTCAGTAGGGTCCCCTCCTCCTCATCCTCTATATTCTATCTCCAATTAGCTGTTGGCTTTGCTCACAAGACTATGATGCCTAGTGAGAGTATGTAGCTTACAGCTTCCTCAAACGATATTCGACTAAACTAAACCATTACAGCAGTACTTTCAAAATCAAAGCCAGGCATTTTGCTCCAGTGTTTCCAGTTCTATCACAATCACAATATTATAAATACGTTCTATCCTCAAAAATGTGGTCTGTTCACCACTGTTCATGCCACAGTTGTAAATACAAATGAGGAGAAAAGTAGGAAAACAGAGGAGACGCAAATCTGAGGCATTGACTTTTTCAGATCTGTCAGAATCCTTCAAGTGAATATTTACTTTATAATTACAATGCCTGTCTGCTTCTGCTAAGGAATAGTTACAATGAAAGAAGAATAGTAAACACAGACCTTCCTAATGGATCTAACTTCATTGTCATGGATATAGTGAAAGATTCAATTTCATCACAAATGTCAATGGTGAGTCCAACAGCTATTTAAGACTCTGAATGAATGGCATCTTCACATCCTGAGACTAAGACTTGCTGGAACAGATTCAAACACCTGACAGCACTGGTTTCCACTGAGAATGAGTGAGTATATACAGAAGCAGTATGACAGTAACCAGACTGAGCAAATTAGGTAATCTTTTAATTTGCACTACCGTACTTCTAAAGAGATCTGCAAAATGGGTAACTGCATTTTAGAAATCTAAACACTGTGAATGAAGATGAGGAAGGAAAAACCCTAACTAAAATACTGCTTTCCAATATATCGCAGCCCATTAACAACTGAATTGAAAATTCAAAAGCTTGCAGACTATATAGTCCATAATGAACAAGATGATAATTGGACAAAGAGAACAGTGTTCTCTAAAATTGAAAAGATAAGTTTAATGCATAAATGCTAACATGCTAGCATTAATGCATAAATGCTAAAAAATAGCCAGTAGAATGTTGCACTACAACAGCCACGTCATTGAAATCATTATTACATTTGTGGTGACAATGGTAAAGGACTAGAGAAAATGAGCTCACAAAATAAATACTAAAACCAACAAATTAATAAACTTGACTTTTTCCTTTCTCTCCCTTTCCCTACAAGAAATAAAGCACTGATAGAATATGTAGCAACTTCCCACTATTGAAAAGCATGAACATTTACACAAACTACTATGTTATACAAGACATCTAATTTCTTCAAGCAAAGACATATTTTACATATCAGCAGGTACAGGGCAGTATAGGAGGATGTGTACTTATTTAAAAGGAAGAAAAAAAATCTACCTGTTCCTTTTTATATATATCCATTTCCTTAACTCTTGCCATATTGGACAGCAATGAAGTAAATATTCATCGTAATATGCCATATAGCACTCCAACAATTACAAGAAGCTTCACATTTTCAGCTCTAGTCCTCACGTGGGACTTTAACCACCCTAATATCTGCTGGAAGGACAACAGAGCAAGACAATCCAGGAGATCCCTGAAAGGTATGGATGACAACTTCCTAACTCAAGCGACTGAGGAACCAATCTTCATTGGTCAGCGATATGAAAGCTGGGGGCAATTTTGACTGCAGTGACTATGAGATCGTTACGGTCAGGATCATGTGATGAGGTGGGAAGACCAAAAGCAGATTCGCAATACTAGATTTTAGGAAGGCAGGTTCTGGCCTGTTCAGGGACCTTCTTTGAAGAATTGCATAGGACATTGCCCTGAAGGAAAGCGGTAACTGAGAGAGCAGACTGACATTCGAGGATGATCTCTGACAGGTTCAAGTGGTCTATCCTGACAAGCAGAAAATGAAGCAAAGGGAGCATGAGGCCTGCATGGATGAACAAGGACCAACTGAAAAGGTGCAAGAGATGGAAACGGGCACAGGCAGCCCAAAAGGAATATCAAAACACTGTCTGAGCATCTGAGCATGCAGGTCGGGAGAGCTAAAGATTTCTAAACTGTATGATTTATTAGCAAAATAACCTTGTAAATTAGTCTCAGATATATCCTCAGGCCCTTTTTGTGCTTCTATTTGTTACCTTACATGTATTCCTGAACATTGGGTGTTTTTTTAGATTTGAAATCCCACTGCTTGCACATATCAAGAAAAAGTCAACAACCAGTAAAAGCCACTGCAAATTATAAACTGAAAATAGTCTGCGTGAGAGGAACTACAAAAGGCCTATTAGGAGATTTGCACAATGTTCCCGAAAATATTGTTTAGAAAATTAAGATGTCTAGTTTATCATCCAGATACACACCACTATAATTTAAGAAATGGAGGAGCAGATCAATATAAAGAAAAACAGCTGTCTAAAGAAGACACAGAAAATGGAGGCTAAAATTATACTTAGCACTTCAAGTGGCATTTGTAATTGAGCCTGAGTAAGGCATCATCTATGAAAGAAACATTCTATTCTATGTATTTTTATATGAAAACAGCCTAATTTTCCTCATTTATACCTGTCAACAAAATAATCAGATTTGTTGTTTTAAGTGAAAGCTTTAAATTAACAGATGGAAATTTGAAACAACTACAGATTACATAGATTTTCAAAGTGCATAATTTGATATACACTTTTGAAAACAGTTTTTATTAACTAATCTTTTTCCTTATACACTGCTTTTTGCGTATTATTTGTTGGATTCAAAGTATTTTCTCAGTGGGAAAGTAAAAGCATTCAGACAATAAATCAATGTTTAAATAAAAGGTGTCAAATGTGTCAATGGTAGACTTGTATATTTTATATATTCTCTCTAAATTACTAGTGCTTACATTCATCATATAACTTTGTATTCACTGCATAGCATTCAAACAGGAAAAAAATGCATTAATATTGTCTTTAAGACATAGTTTTTTTCAGACAAATAAGCTGAGTTGTCAAACATAAAACTGTCATACAGAAGTACAGAACATGCAAAATGAAAATAAATAAATAAATATAGAAAAACAGAAAAAAAATATCATCACAAGAAGAACATGCATTTATTTAACAGGAGAATATTATTCTTCTGAAAATACTAGAGAGCATGATAAAAATTACAGAAAAAAAGGTCTCAGGAGCAGCTAATGCAGCAGCTGGTTGCATCTACAAAGGGATTTTGCAATGTCTATAACATCAAAAGAGATACATATGGTCCAAGTAGAATATGGCAGGATTTAATATTTCCTACTTTTTATAAAAATAGTTTTAAAATTAGTTTAAATCATCAGTAATATATAGATAATTTACACTGTTGTTATAATCTATTTTTTCAATATGCAGGTGGGATAGAATTTGATTTAAAGTCAGGGCATTTTTAGAAGATGAGATTTGTAAACTTTCTCTGTTACGTAATCTGTTACCTCCTAGTTTCTGAGGTAGACCTGATTCCCAGAAATAGGTTTTATCACAGTACACCTGAAAGAAGAAGTGTGGCTGAAAGGACTGATGTTCAACACCTTTTCCTCTAAGAATTATCAACATATTCTTGGTAACTGTACTACCTGTACCTATAATATATATAATGACCTAATAATAAGAAATAAAAAAAAAGAACAGACTTACTTTAAAATTCCTATCTTTATATAGAGTTGTACCATAAAAATACAAACACATTTTAGAAGTATATTCATCAAATTTTACCCCATCTTCCAGAGAACCAAACCAACCATGAAACAAAAAAGTTAGCAAATTTTGATGATTTATCAAAGCATAAATTTCAAACTGGCAATCTTTATTCTCAGAGCTGTTTCAATGTGTTAACATTTTGCATTTCCATTTGAAACCAAACTATCATTGAATAATCTGGCCAGTATCCTAGTTGATGTTCTTTTTTTCTTGAATTCCACAGTATTTTTCATTATAATAAAATACATCTGAGGTTATTTTTCAACAAGCATCAGGCAATCAAAAGTGGAGATTTGAAATTCAGTTTCGCAATCATGCAAGAGAGCTATGCTAAATATAGGCAGAATTTCAAGAAAAAAACACTTGCTATTATAGCTCTTTATCATGATGAAGGTGGTAACAAGACAATAGCGGATGTTAACAGAAACACAGATATAAAGCACTTTCACCAATTTTAAAAAGCAATAGCCTAACTGTAAAACAAAAGCTTTGTAACACGTTCTAGGTGGAAAAACAAACCAAAAAAAAAAAATTTTTGTTGCAATTTCCCAGGAAACATTACTAGCTGTTATATCCCGCCTTAGTAATATGGAGATTTATTTTTAATCACTCAATACGCTAAATAAATTGTCTGATACTCTCTGCTAAATCATTTATTCCCAGGAAATAGTTTGGAAATCATAAGCTTAAGATACTTTCTCAATTTTCTTAGCATTCCTTGCTCTATTGTAGGACCCCTCTTTCTCTTGGATAAAAGTTGCATGTGCAACCTGGAACACTCCCAAAACATTTCCTCTTGGATACTTGACTTCTGGCCTAAGTGAAGTTCTCAGATCCAATTCCCTGTTTTTTTTTTTTTTTTTTTTTTAAGTTCAAATGCGAAACAGCTTA